ACAGAATTTCATAATCATTTTCTGAAGGGGACTAGGGTCAAATTTCGAAAATCGGCAGTATCATTTAGATTTATATGAAATTAAGTTTTGCCGATTAATGTAGACTAGAGCAGTAATATTCTACTACTTTTGATTACTCAATACTTTTCGTTTGGGTACTCAATACTACTCGATACTTTTAATTGTTTTATTTTAAATTAAAAACGAGGAATTTTTCCTTTTTTTTTAAGTAAAGTTAGACCAGACATCACACCTCTTTTGAGACATTTTATTTTTTTAGATTGCGTCAATAAATATTTGTAACTTTTTAACTATTAATTCAGTTTTTAAATTATTTTTACATTGATTTGATATTGCTAAGAGTTGCATTTCTAATAATGATATGATCTGTATTAGTTGTAGAGCTGTATTTTCTCACATCATAGCCGTTAAATTTAAATAAGTTAAATCCATATAGAAGTCTGAAAGTATTGAGTAACTATTTTTAGTATTGAGTACCCAAAAAATAGGACAAATACTCGATACCCACTACTCAATACTTTAACAGCACTAATGTAGACATACTAGAATATTTAACATAATTATGAGCTAGCCGAAATAATTAGTCGATTTTAACCGTTTTCACCAGGCTTCGTCCTTAACCAAATTTCATCAAATTATCTTGAAAATTTCGACCTTTAGCGTGCGTACAAGGTTTACATGGACACACAGACGGACATAGCTATGTTCGAAAGTGATTCTGAGTCGATTGGCATACTTTTAGGTGGATGTAGTACAAATATTTTTGGGTGTTACAAAAATCAGCACAAACGCATAATACCCTCCCTAATAAAATAGTGTAGGATATAAAAACATACTGTTTAATGTTTGGCAAAGGCGCTTTACAAGGGCAAAGGCCGTTCTTATCCAAAAACATAAATTGAAGATATCACAAAAATGTTATTGAACAATGTTATTTTGGTTTCAAGAAACAATTTTCAAAAAGTAAGTAACTTGTTAAATTATTTTTTTACAGTCATAAAATAGGGTAGAGATATTTTAGCTCAAAATTAGTTTGTCGAATTGCATTGCGGTATTCGTATTTTTCGCGTTGTAGTCATTTTCTGAGGGGGAATTTATATTTAATTGATACATTCTTAATAAATAGACATGAATGAAATTTGCAATTTCTGTTTTTTATGTCCAAATTCTGAAATGAGAAGTTAACTTTTCTTTTATTTTAAGCACAGATAAATGAAAATATTTGTATATTTTATTTTAGCACATTTTTGTAAAGTGAATGATGAAAAACAAAAAATGCCAAATACTCAAAGTTATCAAGTGATCTCATCACACTCATTAATATTTACAATACATGCAGTGTTGCCAGAAAATGAATTTCAAAATATGCTAAAACTTGAAAAACTAAGTGCTAAAATGTTCTACGGAAGAAAAAAAAGTGCTAAAATTTTTTAATCTAACAAAACAATATAAATGTTTGTTTTTTATAGTTTTTATTAAAATACTGATGATGTAGTGCATGACTCCAATATTTCTGGTACTATATCTTCATCGTAATCCTCATTTTGATATTTTTCAAATTATCGTATTTTATTTGTAATATAATTTTTTATATATTCATAAACAACATTTTATTTTGTAAAAGATTTTTAATAAGGCCTTAAGTGTAACAACATGCATTTTCGAATTTCAATTCTTTTCGAATTTGTATTGTTGAACATAAAATTTCAGCTTAAATACGGTTTCGAATTTTATTTTAATTATAGCCTTTGAGTAATGACAATACAAAAATAGAAAATTCATTAAATTAATTTTAACCGATAAAATTTTCAAAATTATATACTTGAATTTAAAAAGCCATTGTATCAGATTTTTGTCATAATGTTGTTTTGTAATATCCAACCACTGATTTTCAATAATATTTTTATCAGTTAAACTATACTTAATTTTTTATAAAAAACATAGACATATTTTTTTTAAATTTTTTTTATCAAGCAAATTATGTTAAAAAGCATTTAGCATAATTTTTAAAAACTTCAATGCATTTTCACGATGCAAAATGCTAAATCTAGCACTGAAAGTGCTAAAATGGCAACACTGAATACATGTGTTAGTTGTTTGAAACTCAACAAGCGGAAAAAAATACTGACAGCATTAATCAAAGTAGGTTGCCATCGCTTTGTTTCAGAAATTGCAAACATAATTTGTAAAATCAAAAACAAAAATTTCAAAACCGTTCGTGTTTTATCAACATGAAAACTCATGTACATTTTAAATGAAAAATATTCTTTGCTTTTAATTTTCGAATGCTGGAGTGCAAAATAAAACTATGCTCATTCATTTGAGTAAAGTTTACAAAAATATTTCTGTATTCTTTTCTCAATTTTGTGTATGAAAAAACAAAATTTTGTAGAGAGATGTTAGCTCATACAAAACTAGTTTATGTCAATTTTCATAGATCTACTAGGATTTTTAAGCCAGTACTGAGGTTTAAAGTCATTTTCTGAAGGAGCCTTATATGGGGGTAGCGTCAATTATAGATCGATCCTCGTAAAATTTTGTAGAACGATCTTGGTTCCTACAAGTCATGTTTATATCGAATTTCATCGCTTTACTCGTTTTTTAGCCCAGTAATGAGCGTTAAAGTAATTTTCTGATGGGGACCTTATATGGGGGTAGGGTCAATTAAGGCCCACTCCACATAAAATTTGGTTAAGAGATTTTGGATCGCAATGAACTTTATTGAGTCGATATTCATTATTATAATCGTACTTTTAAGCCAGTAATGAGCGTTAAAGTAATTTTATGGAGGGGACCTTATATATGGGGTAGGGTCAATTATGGACCGATCCACATAAAATTTGATGGAAAGGTTTTGGCTCTTAAGATACTTACTTTTGTCAAGCTATACTAGTATTTTTAAGCCACTAATGAGCGTTAAAGTCATTTTCTGAAGGGGACCTTATATAGGGGGTAGGGTTAATTATGGACCGATCCACATACAATTTTATAGAGAGGTTTTGGCTGGTAAGGCACTTACTAATGTCAAATTTCATCGCTATACTTGTATTTTAAGCGAGTAATGAGCGTTAAAGTCATTTTCTGAAGGGACCTTATATGGGGGGTAGGATCAATTATGGACCGATCCACACAAAATTTGGTGGAGAAATATTGGCGTGCTTGAAACTTATGTGTGTCAAATTTCATCGCTATATTCGTATTTTTAAGTCACTAATCAGCATTAAAGTCATTTTCTAAAGGGGAGCTTATACTTATGTGTGTCAAATTTCATCGCTATATTCGTATTTTTAAGTCACTAATCAGTAGGTCCAATTATGGTCCTATGTCCGCCATAATTCAGAATTTTAATTCGGAAGTCAAAAAACTTACTTATGCGAAATTTTGTGGCATTTGCTTAAAAACAGCGAATTTCTGAATGTTAGAAGCTTTTTACACAATATTCCTGGGGGTACATTTGTATACCAAATATGTCTGATCAATAAAGAATATTTTGGGAAAATTTCATCTAACTATCTCTTTTGTTGTGGACGCTATCGTGCCAACAACAGACAGACGGACGGAGCTAGATCGTTTTAGAATCTTACGAGGTCTCAAAATATATATACTGTGAGCAATATGTGTTCCACACGGAATGACAAAATCAATATACCCCATCTTTTTTGTTGGAGGGTATAAAAATGAATTAAATACATATATACATACATGCATACATACATACATACATACATACATACATCCATACATCCATACATCCATACATACATACATACATACATACATACATACATACATACATACATACATACATACATACATACATACATACATACATACATACATACATATACATACATACATACATACATACATACATACATACATACATACATACATACATACATACATACATACATACATACATACATACATACATACATACATACATACATACATACATACATACATACATACATACATACATACATACATACATACATACATACATACATACATACATACATACATACATACATACATACATACATACATACATACATACATACATACATACATACATACATACATACATACATACATACATACATACATACATACATACATACATACATACATACATACATACATACATACATACATACATACATACATACATACATACATACATACATACATACATCATACATACATACATACATACATACATACATACATACATACATACATACATACATACATACATACATACATACATACATACATACATACAGACATACATACATACATACATACATACATACATACATACATACATACATACATACATACATACATACATACATACATACTACATACATACATACATACATACATACATACATACATACATACATACATACATACATACATACATACATACATACATACATACATACATACATACATACATACATACATACATACATACATACATACATACATACATACATACATACATACATACATACATACATACATACATACATACATACATACATACATACATACATACATACATACATACATACATACATACATACATACATACATACATACATACATACATACATACATACATACATACATACATACATAAATCTCTAAATCTCAGTTTAAATTAAAATTTTCTGAATTCAAAATTAAATGTTCTCATTTTTTATTTAAAATGTATAATTGGTTATTACTCAATTACACATTTCAAATAATTGTAATTGGCAATTACCCCCAAGCCTGATAGAAATCTAGTTTTAAAAAGACATCTTTTTGTCGCATATTTAACAATCTGTCATGGCAACAGTTTATTACAAATATATTATATGCTATTGTTTTGCGAACAAAGTCCGGTTTGTCACAAGATTTTCTTGACATGGGCATATAAAGAAATGATGTACATATGTATATTTTGTTATAATATTTTATAGAATAGAATAAAAAATATTTATTAACACTAAATGTAACAACTGTAACAAAGTGATAGAGAAAGATCAAGAGATGTTATGGCATACATAGATTAACACTAAACAATAAATTTAACAAAAATAATTTAAAATAATAAAAATCAAAAAATAAATATATTAACACCAATACCAATAAAAACAACATGCTAATGAATATAAATACAGCATATTTGAAATATGACGGTAAGTGCAAAAATGCTTTATAATTTTCTGTTAAATTAATTGTTTATATCTAAATTTTTAATTTAAAGTCTGTAATTGAATATTTTCTATAAAGAAATATTAGACTCTTTGGCTGTCTTCCAAAACGTACAAAGTTTAATTAAACACAATTTCATTGCGGTATTTAAATCTTGTACACATGTAAAGTTTCAAAACATTGCAACGATGCTTTGTTTATTTTCACGTTTTAAAATATTGAAGATGTAAAGTATTGTTTTTGGTAAGTCAGCTATTTGTGTAGTTTTAGCAAATAATTTCAACAATTTTGAAATTGATGCGCTGATTGACATTTTGCTACGTTTCTAATACTTGTCGATGACGTTTTGAAACAGTATACATTGTCTATGTTTTGTACTGCGGCGTTTTGAAACACTATACCTTGTACATAAAGCAACTGACGTTTTGGAAGTCAGCCTTTATAAACATTTTTATAAACTATTTGAGAATTGACAAAACTGAAATGAATTTAAAGAAGCGTAAAATAAAGAATTTGAATCGATCTAAAGCAGAGGAGTTCAATATTGAGATTTCATAGCACGCGTGAAAGGGTAAGAAAATTCTGTTGACGCTACGTTAGCGCAAATATACTGCAGGTTTATTTCTTCTTTTTCTTTAAATGAGAATTTGATGTTGATTTGCACTCAATTTGAAAAACAAAATCAAATCAGTTGCTGATCAGCTCTTGTTAAAGCAAGGTCTGTGCGCAACTTTTTAAAAAAACACACAGAAATACAACAACAAAATTTTGAAAAAGCCGAATTAATGTAGGAGAATGATATCTGACAGTTAGCATATACACTGTAGTTTGTAGTAATTTTATTTTGAGTTGAATTCTGTTCTCTGCTGCTTTACTAACACAAGTAAAACTATTTTAGACTAGTATGTGTTTGAGCTCCACTGATCTAAAGCAACGATGGCCAAACATGCCCCTGCGGGCATTGTATTATTCTCACTTATACACATGCAATACGAATATTCTCAGCAACAAAACAAACTATACACAAAACAAAAACAATTTAATTTAGTTGCTCTCTTTATGAAATGATACACAGAGAATATTTTCAAAAGCCGTTACAAATATATGTTTGTATAAATACTTTTGACAGATAGATTTATTAGGTAAATAATTATTTACAATTATATTTGTATTTTCATTTATTCAAGCAATTAATCGTCAAAATTTTATCGATTAACTGATCAACGGTTAATCATTTGAACACTTATAGACGGGCATACATATGTACATAAATACATCAACACATGCATTAATACATTCTTACATCAATAAATGCATCAATATATCGTTTCTTCAATACATACATACATCGATGTATACATTCCCTCTGTTGTTCATTTATAATACAAATAATATGAATAACACAAATAAGTACAAACATATAATTTTTTTCAGTGCAAAGCACACATAAGTGTAAGAGCGAAAAATACAAGAAATGAGAAATTGTTGTACTCTCATCTTCACAACAAGGCATGCTTGGAAAACTGAAATTTAGAAATAATATTAACCTAAAACAAAACTAATATTTTTTTGGGCTTATTTGCACATATTTATTTTAAATATTGAAATAAAAATATGAGCTTTTTAACTAAGTTTTAATAAAATATTTACCTATTAAGGGAAAAAAATTAACATAATTGCACATATATTTTGGTAAATTATCGTAATTTGCTACTTAAGTCGTAAGAAAAAACATTTAAAAAAGTTTATAATTCTAAAAACTACTTAATATGTAGTGTAGATACTAAAAAAGTACAACAATAATTAGAATTATCTATCGTTAATTTTCATTGCAAAAGCAAGAAACGAGCCACAACACAACCTCCTTCAATGACTGCTCATATGAGACTGAATTGTGTTTTCTATGCGTGTGAGTAGTATGTGTATATTTAGTAACGGCCAAAATACACAGTGTGTAGGAGTCGCCGATCGTGGATCTAAAGCAATGGTGCCCAAAATCACTATTCCCTATCACGCGAGATAGGGCAAGAATATTCTGCTGACGTTGCGTTGACTCACCTACACTATAAGCTTACTTGTGTATTTTCTTATTTGAGCATGTGCTAGTTGATTATCTCTCAACTTGCAAAACAAAATCAACTCAGTTGCTGATCAGCATTTGTCGAAGTAAGATCTGTACGCAACTTTTTTAAAATCCACACAGAAATACAACAACAAAATTTTGAGAAAGCCGAATTTATGTAGGTGAATGAGAGAGCACAGCTGATAGTTTTTTATATATGAACTTTAATGTACGCTGTCTGTCAAAATCCATAATATCAATTTGAAATTTAGAATATACTTTTTAGTATGCAGTCATTTTATTAGTACAGTTTTATTTTGGGTTACATTTTGTTCTCTGCTGCTTTACCAATACAAATGAATGTGTAACAGTGTGTGTATGGGCAACACTGATCTAAAGCCTACATCGGCAGAGAGAAAAAATAAGTTCTTTATAGTTAGTTAGTAGTTTTTTACATAAAGAAATAAACACAGATGGCGACATGGCTCTCTTAAAAAAATACTTTTAAGGTCAGTGACGTCATCAGTGCCTAGAACTGATTGTATGATATGAAAATTGTATGTGATTTATAATAGAAAAGTAAATAATTAGGTTTAAAACTTATTTTTGTCTAATAAAATTAAATGTATTTTACGTTTTATGTTATTAGGAATTTTTAACTTATTTAAATATTTAACTTATTTAAATATAATAGGGACTAATCTGTTTATTACAGAAATCATTTGCTTCATACTAACCCATTTCGAATTGTAAATTGTTTTCAAAGTCATCGGTTTTGAAATGCTCTATACAGATTTTAGACATTTTAACGTTAATTTGTTTATTGCGACAACAAAAACTTATCCATTGCTTTAATAAGCTAGAATCTGAAGGAAAGTTTTAAAATCTTATTGCACACTATTTTGATTTTTTATTATTATTATTATTGCAATTTTTGACTACACACCACATTTTAATTTACTTATTTTATTTTTCACTATTTGCTTTCAAATTTCATGTGAAAAGTAAGTATTTTACATTTAAAACATAGCAAAACAAGCACTGTTGACGTCACGAAAAAAGAGTACATTAAAATAACGGAATTGTCGGTGTCGCAATCTTGTTTATTTCATTCATGAGTTTTTTATACATGTGTAGGCATAATGCGTGTGAAATTAAGAGTGCAAGAAGCTCTTAACAAAGCTCTTTGCCGATCAGGGATCTAAAGCCAGTGTTGCCAACATTGGTCAAGCAAAACGCGCGCAAAAAAATTAAAAAGGGGTAAAAAGCGTAATTTTCTAACTGAAAATGGGTAAAAAAGCACTAACGTTTTTTAGTCAAATATTGTTTATTTTAATAAAAATTGCACATTATTTCGCTCATTTCCTACAAGACTCCAAAATTCGTTTTTTAGAACATTGACTACAAAACAAAACATGCGTCATACTAAAGTCTTTCATCTGTGTGAGTTAGATTTTTAGTAACGTAAGAACTAAAACTAATGTTTGACGAATATTAGATAAATAAGATGAGAAATTTTCAAATTCCTTGATTTGTTTAAAAGTTATTTTAAAAATAGTAAAATGTCATTAAACATTCAAACTGACAGGCACACTACCAACTGGCGAAGCGATGTAACCACACCCAAATTGTAAACTTGTGTGAAATATATTTTTTTTGCAAAATCTATATATATTATTTTTAAGTTTATATATCGATACCCATAAAATTTTGTACATAGATTTTGTTTTGTTGGTCAGTTATATCGTCATAAAATTCGGAATAAAGAATTATAATAAAAATCTTTTATTGCGAGTACAACGATGAAGTAATCATGGAGGCTTTATATATTAGGGATAGGTTCAATTGTGTAAAAAAATTTTATAAAACTTATTTTTTGTCAATTTTCATCGCTGTACTCATATTTTTAAGGGGACCTTAATAGGGGGTAGGGAAGGTTACCGAAAAATCCGAATTAAATTCGGTAGGAGATTACGTTTGTATAAAGTTGTTTATTTCGAATTTCTCCGCTATACTCGTATTTTTAAGTCAGTAAAGAGCGTTAAAAATCAATTTTTGAAGGTGACAATATGTGGGGGTAGGGTCAATTATGGACCGATTGCCGTAAAATTTGCTAGAGAGATTTTGGCTTATATAAAACATATTTATGTCGAATATTTTTAAGTCGGTAATGAGTATTAATGTCATTTGGTAGAGAAATTTTGATGCATATAAAAGTTACTTATGTTGAATTTCAACGCTGCACTCATAGGGAGACCTTATTTGGGTAGAGACATTTTTGCCTTATATAAAACTTATTTATGCCGAATTTCATCGCTATACTCGTATTTTTAAGTCAGTAATGACCGTTTAAATAATTTTCTGAAGGAGACCTTATATGGGGGTAGGCTCAATTATAGACCTATTTCTATAAAATTTAGTAGAGATTTTGGCTTATATAAAACTTACTTATGTTGAATTTCATCGCTATACTCGTATGGGGGGTAGGGTCAATTTTGGACCGATTCCCATAAAATTTGGTACAGAGATTTTGACGCATATAAACTTATTTTATCGCTATACTCGTAGGTTTAAAACAGTTGTGACTGTTAAAGCTGTTTTTCGGGGGGTCACTTGTATGGGGGATATGCGAAATTGCGGACCCATATTGCCCATTTGCCATACCAAACAAACCTTACCTATAAGAAATATTTGTGGAAAAATTTAACTCGCTTGCTCTTTCCGATCTAACCCTATCGTGCTTTCAACAGACAGACGGACGGACAGATGAACAGACGGATGGACATGGTTAGATCGGCTTAGAATTTAATAAGGACCCAAAATATATATACTTTTGTGGGTCTACGACCAATATTTCGATGTGTTACAAACGGAGTGACAAAATCAATATACCCCACTCATCTTTTTTGATGGTGGGTATAA